TCTTGTATCGTCTTTCCCGGTAGCTTTAAGTTATTTTTATTAAGAAAAACATGTTTTTAGAATAAACCCTTCGAAATAAAGATTTAGAGATTACCTGGCTCTTTCAATTTTTTCAGTATCGTTTGGCCTAATGCTATTTCTCGGGGTTAGTTTTTTGTTCTAAAATTACTAAAATAAAATTACCATTACCCGAAATAACTTTTGATCTAATGTGCGGGTCTTCATGTTCTAAGACTCAATCCAAATTATTCAATGATTGATTGAATGTAGGTTTTAATGGCACAAAGTCCAAAGAAGAACATGCTGCGCCAAACAAACGGTTTTAAAATAAAGGTAAATGTATATTACAAATTTTCCTTATTAAAAATCACACGGAATTTATAAAACTAGATACAATGAAGCAGATGTATTCAAAATTGAGTAAAACCAATGCAAATTATTCAATGGGGTGACCTCAAATAAGCAAATTAGTTAGTGCAGACGATAATTTAACCCACTGACGGTTCTGCACGTAAAAAGTCGCATTTTAACATGCAGTCTTCTCTGCATAGCAAAACCGGTTTTCCCATGTTAACTGATAGGGGAACTTTGTGTAGGGGAGAAACATTCTCGCAATTTTGCCCATTTCCTTAACCGCCAGTGGGTTAAGTTACGAAATCAGACACAAAAACGTACATTCTCTGAATAAACATATCTTTTTTTTTCCCGACGAATTCAGATTTCAGAACCTCCAACTAAAGCCGCAATCTGGGAAATATGGCCCCAATAGTTTGTTTAGGAGATCGGCTAAAAGTTTGGACTCCTGAATGCAAATTTTATTTTTTCAGTTTACGTTCGCATATCTCGAGAACTTATAAAGCAAATTAAAAAATAATAAAAATATTTATGATAATTCTATATTTTATTTCAAAACAGTCGAAAAAAATTTTGAATTTTAAGGTATACAATTTTTCACATCATTTTTAAGAATGCAATTTTAAAAAGTAATATACAAAATTTGAGGGAAATCTGTCGCATAGTTCCTGCAAAATAGAACTTTAAAAAAGTCGTATTTTCAAAATACGATTTCTCAGTAATTATTCAACCGATTCTTCACACATTTTGTATCTCGCCATTTAAAATTGCATGCTTTGAAATGACGCGAAAATTTGTTTACTTTAGAATTAAAAATATATTCAACTAATATGAAATTAAAAAAAAAAAATGAAAAGCAATAAATATTTATTACAAGTTAATTAAAATTATCTTTGGATGAGCTAGTTTTATAATTGTGTGAAAAAAAAGGTTCCCAAAAGATGGCGAAAGGTGCGATAAGTAAATAAATTAATATTAAGGGGCTAAACGTTGAACCGTTCTTCTGACAAAACTATGGGGGCCATATTTTTCATATCGCTTCTTCACCCCTTTATTCGTGCAGTCAGAAATCCAGACCCCGTCGAATAGTTATTCAGAGAAGTACGTTTTTGTGACTGATTTCGTAACTAAAAATATAATTTGCACTAAGTTGAGTTTTGAGGCCACCCTTTCAAAAAATTGAAATTAAGTCCTAGAACAAACGTAAAGATCCGGTTATTACATAACGGTAGCCTACATAAAAGTTTTTAAAGCACATCGTATCATAATTGCATTGCTATCGATTTTAGTGACACCTGTGCTAACTTATATAATGACAAAATAAAAAAAAAATTCAATACATTTTATAATCATATTTTAACGTATTATATGTTTTTAGAAATATTTGTACACGTCCTTTGACTATATATTAATATCAAATTTCTATTTTGAACCAAAAAATTATTTAAAAAAATTAAATGTCCACCTAATGTCCCCCTCAAACGCAGCAAATAGTTTAAATTTTATAAATTAAAATTATTAATTTTATTTTACAAAATGTTTTACAAATATGGTTTAGCATATTTATATATTTTCAGAAATTTTGTCATTTATTTTTTTATTTTGGGTAAATATCAAAAATCTTTTGTGAACCCAAAATATTTATGAAAAATCATTAAAATGACCGTCAAATGGTCCCCTCAAATGTAGTATCTAATAATAATTAGAAAATGAAGGAGAGACATTCCTGTAATCGAAATAAACAATATTTTACTTCAAATGTAGGCTACAAAGAGTTTTTTTTAACTCGACTCAAATCACTCTTGCATCATTAACAATTTTATTAACACCTTTTGCTAATAATCTAGAGTTAGATTGAAAAAAAAAATTTAAAAAAAGTTTAAAAATGTTTAATAAATATTTTTCTAATATATGTATATGTCTTTAGAAATTTTAACACCTATCCTTTTCCTTGATATTGATAGCAAAGTTCTCTTGTGAACGAAAAAATATAAAAAATCATTATCCGCAAAATGGCCCTCTCAAACGCAGCAAATAGTAATTATTGGTAAATATAGAAAAGCAATGCCAAATTAGGTAATTATGTACATCGAATAAAGGATACACAGAAGATTTTAACCCAACTTATATCATATTTGCATTATAATCCATTTTAGCGACATTTGTGCTAACTACCCAAGTAGCACAATTCACAAAAACGATATCGTAAAAACTTAGCTTTGAACATTGTACAATACCGTAGCGGAACATTGTACTATATAAAAATGGACCCCTTTTATAACGTATATTCAACATCGCGAAACAATATTGTTCGATATCGTGAAAACGTTGGGGAACGTCGATTGATATCTCTCAGCATCTCGGATATCTCTAAATTTATATTTTAAATTTATTTTTTGGAATTATAACAATTTGACGTCATTTTTTGTCTTTTAAATGGTTAATTTTGATTTAAGAGCACAATAAAGTTTAAAATCAAGAGTTTTACAAACAGATTTTTAATGTGAAATCGACGGGAGTCGTACAATATCGTACATACAATGTCGATTTTCGCCAATATTGACAATGTCGGTCGATGTAGACTAAAGCTGTTACAATATCCCTGTGCTACTTGGGTATATAGTGACAAATTAAACTTAAAAAAATTAAAAACATTTATAAATCTTTTACAGCATATGTATATGTGTTTAGAAAATTTGGCACCTTTCCTTTGACTTTATATGAACACAATATATTTATAATGAACCAAAAAATTTTGAAAAATAATTTAAAGGAAATTCCTATAACCGAAATAGACAATAGTTTACTTCAAATGTAGGTTACGAAAAGTTTTTTTTAACTCGACTCAAATCACTCTTTCATCGTTGTCAATTTTATCGCCACCTCTGCTAACAATCTAGGGTTGCAATGAAATAAAAAATAAAAAAAAATTCAAAAGTGCTTTATAAATATTTCTTTAAGAAATGTATATGTTCCTAGAAATTTTGAGACCTATCCTTTTACTTGATATTGATGGCAAAGTTATCTTGTAAACTAGAAAAATATTAAAAATCGTTAAAGTATCAGCAAAATGAACCTCTGAAATGCAGGAGAGAAATTCCTTTAACCGACTTTAAAGGAATTTCGAAATAGACAATAGTTTACTTTAAATTTGGGCTACAAAGAGATTTTTCAACTCGACTCATATCACTCTTGCATCATTATCAAAACATAGACTCTTGTATCACCATTTAGCATGTGGAGAGTCATAGAAGAAGGAAATTCGTTAGCTTGAATTTCTTGTCCTGTCTTGATTTTCATATAGATTAAAATCTTTTAAGTTGGGAAACAATATGGAACTGAAAACTACATTAAACATAGTTCTAAAAGAATGCATCATGGAAATTTAAAAAAATATTTTTATTAGTAAAGGACGAAAAATATTAAGAATAGGAAAAATACTGCTGAGTACATTTCTACATAACTGAAAAGTGGAGTAGAGGGAAGGGAGTAGGGCCATAGCCATGGAACCGGTCTTCTCCCCAGATGGTGTATTCAAGCGTTGCGATCGCCTACATTTCATTTCAGTGAGAATGGCTTATGAGTAGCACACTAACTATGAGAGTTATAAGCCAAAATTCTTACGATGTATAAATTCATAATATAATTTTTTCTACCAACTTCCAGCCAACTGTCCCTAATCCCAACATGGTAATCGGGAAATTTGGTAAGGTCAATATTTTAATAGGAATTTCCGTTTGATAAATTGATTTATTTATCAGAACGAATTCAATATCATAAAATTTGAATTCATAGTATTCTCAATTTTATATAAATGTTCCAAAAGTGCCACACAATACACAAGTATCGAAAAGTGAATACGAAAGTGCATATAAATTGTTCTCTTTGAAAAAGAGAACTCTCCTGCAAAAGTCAGGCTATTCTAAAATTAAGCTAGAAAGTCACGATTTTTCTTACATATTCATAAAGTTAGGGAAAAAAAATAACTATAGTCCATTCAAAGACTGACAGGCAAGAATAAGGCAGTGTCTATTACACCGACTATCGGTAAGATAGCCTCAGAGCTATCGCGCCGACGTTGACAACAGCGNAAAATATGTAATTTCCTCATAATAACATTCCTCTTTCCCTGGTAGAACCTGTCCAGTTAGCAATTTTCCTCCTGTTTATCCAATGATAAGGAATTTTTGATTGGGTTGCTAGGTTTATTGCTCTTTGTGTGAATAACTGGTTAACAGACAATAGTAGCTGAAACAACAGTAAAAAAATCAAAAGAAGAATTTTCACTGTTTTGTGATGCTGCCAAAAAGAAACGAAGAACAAAGGAGTTTCTTAGAGTTTAATCCACGGCAAAAGAGATTAGATAATTTTTTTCGAAATATTTGCACAGAGGAAAAAAAAAGTGAAAATTTGTGGGTGGTTATTAAAATTGTTCTTATCCTCTCTCATGGTAACGCAACAGTCGAAGGGGGTTTTCAATCAATAAAAGCTTATTGGTTGAAAACCTCAATGAAGACTATTATTTCACAAAGGCGTGTGTATGATTATGTTTCATTTATAAATGGATTAAAAAACATAGACATTAATGAAAAAATGCTAGATGCTGTAAAAAGATCTAGAACAAGATGAAGACATGCATTAGAAGCCCCCCCCCAATAAAACAAAAGAATAAAAAAGCTGAAATTTCTAGAATATGAATAAGAGAAACGATAGATGATTTGAAATTAAGAAAATCTAAATTTACGAAAACTGCTGCAACAGAACTGAAAATTGTCAAACAACAAAATATATGTTGAGAAATATTATATAACATAGGAGCCCCTCAGTTTCTCCGGAAGCTTACAGTATTACAGAAATAAATTTAAAAATACTGAAGAAAAAAATATATTTTTGATTTTATTTTTCTCACAAGTTGCATAATTTTTCTATCTGAATTTTCATTTGTATATAATTAACTTTTCTTGACTTTTTTCCCCTTTATATTTCAATATTATCTTTTAAAAGAAAAGTCAGTTTTGAGTTAAATTTTGATTTTTAAAAATTAATATTTTAATGTAACAAATGTTCTAGTATGTTTTAAGAGTAAATATTATTTGAGGATACTGATACATATCTTGCAGATTTGATTAACCCTTTATATCCTGACGACACTCATGCATTTGGTTCCCCTTAACATTAAATTAAATAATGTTTCCATAGTTCAACAGATTTTCTTGATCTCTTTATTTAAATAGTTTTCGTATCTAACTACAAAAACACACTAAAAGTTTGATCTAATCCTGATAATTCGAAATATGTTTCACAAGTTTTCTGAAAATATAATTTGGGATATAAAGTGCTATTATGCAATTCCACTTTAATATATAAGTGTTTATCCTATTCAATCTATGATACTTATGACTAAGTAGCATATTATTACTAATTGAAACTGCAATATTAAAGGTTTTGTTGGAGTGGGAAACGGCGGGTCAGGAATTTTATTGTAAAAGGTCAGGAAAAACCTGCAAAAGTCAGGATATTGTTTTCTCAAAGTAGTGTAGGAACCCTGTTTTTGTTTTGACAATTACTGTCAAAAACCCAAATTTTTAGTGTAGGACATATTAAATAATTATAAATAAAAACAGATAAACTTGAAATTTATCCACTATATGTTACTTTGTCAAATTATTGAAGAAAAAAAAAACACACTTAACAATCAGCTTAATCAAAAATCACTTGACAATCATCTCATTCATTTTATATAAAATCAATTACCTTGACGTAGTCGATATAAACATTCTCTCCTTAGCAGTTTATCATAGACCAGGGCTGTTTGTGCTCCGGAATTTTCTCTAACAGTGATCCGGAAGTTTCTGGAGATCAAAGGTCCAGAAGTTTCAAAAAATCACTGATCACAGAAGTTTCCAGAAATTAAATTTCCAAAGGTGGAACTTAAAAACACAGTTTATTTTATTTGTTTGTAAGGGAGACCCAGAGAGACACTTTATAAGCTTATATTCAAGATTAATATTCATTTTTTATCAGTAAATAGTTGTTATAAAATCATTAGCTCAAGAAAGAAAGACACATTTGTAAATTTTAATTACATCTCCAGGTTAATTTTTCAATGTAAACTCTTTTTTTTTAACTCAAGAAATTTTCCGGAAATTTGACTTGGGCTCACAATCACCCCTGATAGACGCACTCGAAAACCTTACTGTGCGTAGTGATGGGTCGAATTTCGTTCTTGTATTTCTTAAGTAACTAAATGTATTTTTGTATATCAGTCATGCATTTTAATTAATTAAAAAGTTTACTTCACTTGCTGTGTATAAAAAAATATTAAATATAAAAATTGAATCATGAAACAAAAGCAGACGTGAAATAACTTAAGCTGAACATCTGATTCAAATTCTTTAATATCAGAGCATTTTTTATTTATTTGTATGATGATTAGTTTCTAATCTCTTCTTATTTGTATTTCTAATGTTTTTTTAGTTTATTGTTAGTGAGGTGTATTATTTGGTAATAAGTTTCTTTAACCGCCTCCCTTGCCAATTTATTTTGAAAAAAGAAAAATTCAAAAAATAAACAAATTTTTTTATTTTATTAATAAATACAAGGAACTAAAACAAAACATAATACACAAGTACTAAGTTAAAATTTTTATTTGTTTTATGCGAAAAAAATATTTAATTTACCATCAGTTTACAATCCCAAATTATCTCGGGCAATGAAAAAAGTTAAATATTAGTCTTTGTATATGTTCACATTTTCATCATCTGAAAAATCACCTGCTTTACTTTTGCTTCCGAACGCCATTTTTTTACTCTCTTTTTTCCCTATCTAAATTCAGCAACCGCCGTATTTAAAATTGCACAAAACATGTTTGCATTCTCACAAGCAGCAAAACTCCCAAACAAAAATTGACAAACTTCCAATCACAGCAAATTATTATTATTTTTCGCTTTGCGTCCGGCCGATTAAAAAGGTGATAAAACAAAACGTATTGACGAATTCTGCTGCGTCCGAGTTTACTCGGCATAATCAAGGAAGTGGTTAAAGCAAATTGCCTATGTTCAATTCATGTGTTTTTTAATTAACATGCTATCAAAAAAGATGTTTGGGTTTGCCAAATTTTCATTTGGGGATATATAATTTCTAGACTAACGTGCCAGGCTGAGCTTGTAAAACTGGCCGAGCCCTTTCCCTGGCATGGAATGTCAAAGTCTTGAGGTTTTTTAAACTCTGATATATCTCATTACGAATATTTTTCTTTTAAAACACTGAACATATCCGAATGTTTCTTATTTTATTGCTAAAACCAACTTAATTTCATTTTTTCCAGATACTTATTAGTACAGTTTGAAGTACTCTAAATGGAGAATAATGGTGTGAGAACAAAACAAACTTCAATACCACCTCCCCCTCCACCTCCTTCATTTCTGAAGAATTCAAAATGTACAGATTTAAGGACAAAAATTGTCAATTCAGGTAATTGTTTAAATGCCAATGAACAGACCTCCCGCCTCAAATATGTCTTTCGTGACACTGATTTATTAATTGTATCCTATTGTAATTCTGTCCATTCCATTATACAAGAAGGGCCCAGTTGTGGCATCGTTGCATTATCCATGGCTAGTCAATTTTTCAATAATATCGATACATCTGACATACTCGCGTGTGCTAAGAAATTTAATTTTTCAAGATCTGGTGAAGTCTTTTCGGCTTATAATATGTCTGAACTTGCTTCTCTATTGTTAGACTGTGATGCATTTGTGATAAACGATTTAAAAAACAATGTGCATATGATTTTATCTCACATTTGTAAAGGTTTACCTGTGCTAATGCCCTATGATGCAGACAAAAACCATGAGCCTGGTTTTAATAATGGTAGGTGTGCACATTGGGCTGTGATTAGTGGACTCTGTTTCCAGTTACAAAAAGATGAAGATTTAAATTATGATTTAATGTCTTCTGGTTTAAAAGTACATATTGTCAGTACTGAAATGTTAAATGAAGAACTTTTAAGTAATGCATCAAATGTACATGTATATGCTTATCAGGGTAAAAGTAAGCATTTGGGTGTATGGGATTTAAATACGTTGATAAGTAGTAACAATAATATGCACGAAGTTACTCAAAAGTATGGCATCGAAGAATTGGTTCTTCCAGCAGGGGACACCCTTTCTGAATTACGAGACAAAGCTGTTCTCTTAAAGAAAAAATTTTTTAAATAATTATTTTTATATTTTTTTTTTGGAAAAAATAGTCAAATATTTAAATTGTATGAAATCTAGCAAAACTGTTCCTTCAAAATCGTTCATTGCAGTAGTTAAGTTAATAAAAAAATAAAGAAAGTACCAAAATTTATGTTATTTTGGTAATTTTTTTTCTTATTCTATGCCAGACGTAGCCAGTCAATAACAGTTGACACCAGTCGCAAATCCTGCATAAAAGGTATAAAAGTTAGGTGTAAGATGCAGGCGTTAAAATTATGATTTTATTCATTGGTTTTATTTATTTTTTTTTGTTTTATTAATATCTTATATTCCTGTATTACTATAACTTTTGGTATTGTTTTGAAATATCATTATTGTAAGTTGTGATTCCACTCTATTTCTAGCATGATATGCTGAAAACTATTTTTGCAACAAATTCAATGTATCACACATAACAAATTTAAGATCATTAAATGTATTTTGTGAATATAAAATTAGTTTTATCAAAATAATGATGCAAACTCTTAAAATTGCATGAAATGTTAAAGAATTAAGTTTAAATGTTGCGAACATGACTAAATAGACATAATAGAAAGAGTTTTTTTTGTTTACCATTATAACATTTATTGCTTGTAATTAAATATGATATTTTAAGAGATAATGTATATTTTATTTGCGTAGTTGACTCATTTTTAAAAGTTTTATTACAACAAAGCTGTTAAGTGATTTTTTTTCCCCAAAAATTAAATTTCCTGTTTGCTGTATCAAATGTGATTTTTAAAAATTATAATTTTAATTTTAATTTGATATTTTTCTAAGAATTTTTAAATTGGACATGTCCGCAATGTTGCAGACTTAACAAGTTACAAAATACAATTTCACTGACCCATTATAAGCATTTTTATTCTATAAGAAACACATATGCCAATAAACTTGCATCACATAGATTTTTGTTTGTGAATGTAGCTTTTCACATTGAAGGCGTTAACATTGAAGCTGTCTAGCAGATATGCTTAATATGTGTGAATGACATTCACGAAGAAACTTTCTTGTGGAATTATAGCATTCAAATTTAAAATGGAGTGCTTATTTCAAGAAATTTTTTTTATTTTAATGCTACTTTCCTACGGTAACGTTTTCTATAACCTGTATCTAATTGTAAAAATTATTAATACATAATATACTAAAGGTGCACAACCTTTTCCAAAAGAGGGCCACAAAAAAGAGTTTTCTGTGGAAAAAAATCTTTGCAATGGGAAAAAAGACTTTACGATTTATATTAATTGATTAGGTTAAAAAGTACAAGTTTAATTTGTGTTAAAAAAATGTAAAAAAAAGGGTATGAGTGAAAATTTTTTTGAATCAATACATTTCAAGTTTTTCTTATTTCGTCGTCTTTAATTAAATTCAATAGCTGGTTTATAGTTTTCCGCATAAAAAAATGAATTTTAATACTATTATTATTTTTTATCCTGCATGAAATATGCAGACATGTTTAATTTTTTATATAAACCATTGAACTACATTTGCTTTAAACATTTTTTTTAAAAAAAAGCAAATTTAAAAAAATAAAAAGGTGATAAGTAAGAGGAAACCAATTTTAATTTCAATGTTCATTAAAATCAGTTAGAAAAACAGTGATAAGATTTCTTATTTCTTCTTCATATTTTTATTATTATTAATATATCTTTCTATTATTATGTTCAATTTATCTAACCTTGCCCATTCAAGTTCATTTTGTGCACTTCTGCAACATACTTATTGATTAACTAACTGATAATATTTACGAAACTTTGTTTGTGTATGAAATTTTAAATAGGTATAAAAATCAGTACTACTTTTAGAAATCTTTACATTCTAAATGTTTTTAGCTACAGATGTGCTTACTTTTAGATACTTAAATCAGGTAATGCAAAATATTTCTGCATTTGCATTTAACTACAATTTTTGTAATGAATCATGTTTTGAGAAATATGTATTTTTATATAATCATTTCTTGTTATTGCTAACAATGTAAACATGGTTTTATTCGATAACTTTTTTTTAATTATTGATAAATTTCAGCATTTTTAAGAGTTGTTAGAAGAGACTATTCTAAAATGTTTTGATTTTTAGAAGAATTGTTATAAAGATTTTTTTAATCAAATGTAGCTCTTATGAGTAATATCATTCATATTGCTACATTTATTATTAATTTACAACAAATAGCTTTGTATTGTTTATTGAAAAATTATTTATTTTACAAACTATGTACTGTTTAAAGCTAAAAAAACTATATTTTTTTAACAAATGACTTAGCTTAGAAGAAATTGCTGCTACAAAAATTTCTGAATTTTATGTGTGAATTTAATCTATAATGTGTAAAGTTGAAAGAAAGAAAAAGTATATATATATTTCTTTGTTAAATATTATTTATAGTTTATGTTTTTAAAAGTTTACTTAAAATTGGATTGTTTCTTTGTGAATTTTAATACTTCTTTATGCATTCGTTTCATTGTGGGTTGTTATCTATTAATAGTTTTCATAACTGATGTTTAAATAGTGCGTCACATTCCTACCCATGTATTCTATAAACAATTACTTGTTTGTTATATGGTTTTATTAGTTTAGTTTTTGTTACTAGTATAAAATATTATGTCTTTTAATGTGTGGATAATATTAAAAGCACTTTGTATCATGACTGTTCAAGCTCATATAAAAATGAGTTAAATATGTTGTTCTTTTCTGTGTACTCTTAATGCAGTTTTTCCCTGAAAACATCAGTTTTCTTTGCTCCGATTTACAACATCAAATTTCTTTTCAAATTTAAATACTTTTTAAAGTATTTACTATTGAATAATGTGCCAAGGTCCTCAAAAGTAAAGTAGCATTCTTCTGTTTTCCTTGCTTAATCTCCATCCCTCTTTTATCATAAGGATTCTTAAAATATCCAATTAGAGTAATGCTTTTATTGTAATATAAATTCAGTAGGTTTTAAGACATATTCTCTGTTTTAGTAATTTTTATTCAAAAATGTAGCAATAATTTTTTAAAAGTAAATAAATTTCAAAAATGATTTATCTGATTTAGATGTGCTTCTCTTAGTATGTCTATTTTTATTAGCTGATTCTGTTTTCTTGGTATGTTAAGCTTTGATATTTTTTTCTTTCAGTACTTTCTATTCTTTGCAGTCTTAAATAATACCAGATGTGACAACATGCCATTAAGAGTTGCATAACTATAACCAATGAAATTAGTATTGATTGTGAAAGAACATTACATTTCCTGAAATTTCTATTCCTTGAAAAAAAATATTCGGAAGTTTTATTATGATGGAATAAAGTTCCTCTCACATATACGTATAAAACAATAATACTTTTTTTTCCCTTTTAGACTAATTTCATTAGTAATTTTTGATTCTATAAGCAAATACTTTATTTTGTTTTAATTAGAATTATATATGAATAATCATTGATACTTTCATTGTTATAAAATTATGGTTCAGGATGATATTAGTACGTATAATGTTTGTCTATTATTAAGTTTATGTTTCAAAACTTTTTTGTGACAGATGTTTTTTTATTTCTTTTTTTTTTTAAGGATTAAATCTTTCTGTATGCTTTAAAAGGAATGTTTCACTAAATAAAATAAAAAGTTTCCAAATTGTATTTTATTTTATTGTTTTATGATGTCTGCATTTTGTTTTTAGGTACTTCATTTCTAATTTTTTTAACGAAAAAAGAAAAAAAAACTAATGTGGCTTTACTTTAAAGTTGAAAAAAAGAAAAAATTCTTGATCTCATAACTTCAAAATTTCTGAATGAAGCAATAGAAAATTTTACACATTTCCAGAGAAATGTTTAAAGAATGTTAAAATTAAAATGTTATTCGTGTGGTCACTAGTAGTTGGGTTACTTTATGTCCAAGTTGAAGATTTTTGGTGGTTCGAAAACATTTAAAACTTGTATCATATTTCACATCAAATAAGCCTCTGTGAAAATTTAAATGTTCTATCCAGTTGGAAAATGGGCACTGTGCTAGGTGTGTAGGTTTTACTTATAGATAAGATTACAGCTTATATCTGTGCACATGACAACATTTGTATATTTCAGTAAATAACTGATTAACAAAAAATGACCGCAAATTATGTCAAACTTTTATGTGCCAAGACACTAATATATTTAAGACTAAATTTTAAAAATTGACAACGAAAATCTCGAATGTTTGAGACTATAGATTTTTACATTTATCTAATTACTGACTGCGATGCCAATGGCTGCGGGTTCGAATCCTGCTCTGGGCATGGGTGGTTCTCTCTATGAACGGGTATGTGTGGCGTGGATAATGTTGGCCTGGTCTCATTATCCCACAATAGCTAGATTAGGATCTCGTTACTGAGGCTTACAAGCAACAACAATTGAAAATCTCGTTCAATGATTTAAGTTTTCTGACATGTGTCTCAGTGATTCACCAGTTTTTAATGAAACTGACTTCCGCCAGCTGAAATTATAATCATGGATACGAATCAATCGGCGATGATACAAATAATGATACATCTGCTAAGAATTCAACAGACCAACTTGCTTCACAGCATGTTTCAATAGTATTAATTTCCATGATTCGAAAACGTAAGCGGGGAAAAAAAAGTGGCTTTTAAATCACAAAGTGCTCTAGATCAAGCAAGCAACACTTACAAAAATTAACTACTATTATCGATTGAACTTAAAATCAAAGAGAAGAAATTGAAACTAGTTAGGTGTACATTGAATCAGAAAAAGCACTTTTTTTTGCAGAATGACGCAATCATTGAAGTTAATCCTGACGAACGCTTTGCTTTATGTGTGAGGCTCATTTAATTGAAGATATGGTGCAATATTTACTGTATGGAACTTCAGTTCATGAAAAATGAGCCTGCCAAAAGTTGTAAAAAGGAAGTTGTGTGTGGTGTTTAAATCATAACTAAACCTTGAATCAAATATTGAACGTAATAATTTGTTTTATAAGTACTAATTATTTTTATGATTATGTTTTTATTCTCAAATAAAAGTCATACTTGAGCTTTCTAACAAACTGTTATGTTTTATGCAACTTTTTTGATTTTAAATACCATTTACTGAACTCGTAGCAGTTAAGATAAGAATACTGTATTTTACATTATAATACTAAGCACTTGTTTTCGATTACTAACTGCTGATTTAATTTAGTCTTTTTTGCTCAAATTTTCTAGGTCAGTACAATTTAGAGAGCTGGTGGACGAATTAGACAATTAGGATTTAAATCATACCACTTGCAGAACTTGAACAAATAATTAATTTTCTGTACTCACTGCACAAATTTATTAACAAAAAAGTAATATGTGTAGCAGAATAACTATATTTCATTAATAAAATATTTTAAATTCAATTATCAGTTTTTTTGTGGCTGTAAATGTTCTACGATTTAGACAACTCTCCTCTAATGAAGCAGTATTTGACCCTAAACAGTTTTCTTTAAGACATAACTTTTGACTGAAATAAAATATTAATTTAAATTAACGATATCTTGTATGCAGATACTAAATTATCTATTGTGCATCGAAGTGTTATTCATTATAGACAACACCTCATTTATATTACTCAAAAACGTTTTTTTTTNTTTTTTTTTTTTTTTTTTTTTTTTTTTTTTTTTTTTTTACTCAGGGGATAGAGCGTTTACCGTCCAATGAGGTGAACCGGGTTCGAATCCCGGTGATAGCTGTTCGGTACGAATTCTGCATCCGGCTTTCACCGACTACAGTGCTGACGTGAAATATTCTCAGTGGTGGTCGGATCATGGATTTGAGTCCCTTTGCCGTCAGACTTACCATGGGAGGTTCTCGTGATCTTCCTCTCCATGTAACACAAATGCTGGTTAGTTCCATCAAAAAGTCCTCTACGACGGCAAATTTTTCCCAATACTTGATCCAGGAGTTTCCTTTTCTTCTGGATTGGGTTCAAAATTACGAGGCTATTCACAATACAATCAAAGTGAGTGAGTCCGAGTACTAATATAAAGGTAGAATGAATGCGTTTGATAACAGAGAAAATAGTATAGTGAGACTATTTTAATCATATACAAATTTCTTTTATCTCATCTCACAATATCTATCCATTTACTAATACTTTTAACCTAATATCATTGTTTATCTAATTCGTTTTCATTTAACCTATTACTTCTCAATCAGTTCTCGTACCTACTCAATATTCAAAGCGATCATCTCAGTACTAGGACTTTTTCACTTCAAGTTCAACACTTTTTTCAGGATCATTCGATTAGTTATTAAACACTGATTTTTTTTCTTAATCTAATCGGCTCTGGTTCGTATATTCGCTTGTACAATCATTTGATCAGAAAATTTTACAAGTACTGGAGTAACATAATGTTAATAGGTTCGACTGTTAAATTGAAGAGACTAGTTTTGATAACTAAACTAATTGCGAGTTAGAGTATCCGTCTTAAGACTAATTTTTGAAAACAACAGTTAATAGCAGGTTGAAGCATAATGGGTACGATTAGAGATAGAGGGTTTAAATAGTGAACTAAACTAATTGCGAGTTAGAGTATCCGTCTTAAGACTAATTTTTGAAAACAACAGTTAATAGCAGGTTGAAACATAATGGGTACGATTAGAGATAGAGGGTTTAAATAGTGAACTAAACTAACTGGATAGAATTATTAATCTAGTATTAAGTCAATAAAGAATAACTAAAGTGGATTTCAAAACAATTCTAGTATGTAACTCTTGAGGCAGAAGTTTCAAGTTCCTTAACTCGAATTGCTAATTGACGATACTCTAGAAACGATTAAGTATCTTGAGCAGGCATCTAACAACGGTTGGCTAAAGGTTTTTTTTTAAATAATCCCTTACGCAGATTACGATATATACAGAAACCGAAATATACACATAGATTGATAAAAGTAACTTTTTCTTACAGCACGACGTCAAACAGAAGAAAATTATATTTCACAATTAAATCAATATCTTTTATTAACATTGAATCTATAATTATAAAACTGATACATCCTGATTCTATGATGCAGAATGTTCCGTAATCTACATACTCATATATAATTTTAGAATCATCATTAATCAATCATTAAATTAATCATCATTAAATCAATTAGAAGCATGTGGAGTCCCCTTGCCGTCAGGCTAGCCGTGAGTGGTCTTCGTGGTTTTCCTTTCTATGTAACGCAAATGAGGGTTAGTTTCATCAAAAAGTTCTCCACGAAGGCAAATTTCTCTCAATACTCCATCCAGGAGTTCCCTTGTCTTCTGGATTGGGTTTGAAATTACAAGGCTAAGGAACATTGGAGGCCGTAAAATGAAAATTCGGTCGGCTGTTCAACGACGGTAATAATATAAAATAAAAATATGAAGAAATTGGACATTGTGTTCAAATTGTAGGAAATAATTAGTGTACTTACCAATTATTTCCACACAATAGTCTACCAAAACTTTGTTTTATCGGTTGATGCAGTTTCCTGTTAACTAAAAATCCACGATTTTTAAAGTGAAATTTCAAATTTAACGTAATTAACCCAATAACAGTGTATCGTAAACCTACCTTTGGCATCAAAAACTTTCATTAGCTAACCAACTTAAAAAACATATATGTTTAAAACAAAATTTTTGTTGAGAAGAATTAGCTTAGATGCTTACACAGAGCCCACCAACTCCAAATTAATCTTATTTAGGGTTGCCACTCTACAGGACCTGGAAAATACAGGAAATTTAAAAATCACCTAAAATAACAGGGGAATTTCGAGTTTTTCCTTAAAAACTGGGAAGATACAGGGGATTTTGTTTCCTATTTTTGTCTTTTAATAAGTGGTGACCACTGAATGCGCATTCTATGACACATTTAAGGATGACATTTCTGCTATACTAAACTATTTCATTTACTATAGAATTATTTGTTTTAAATTGGTTAAGCTGTTCCATATTTCTTTAAACTTTTCCAGCAATTAAAACTAGTATAGTTAGACTAATATAGATTAGATAAGAGCAGAGTGAATGTGTGTTTTCTCTTAATATATTGTGTATAATATGCACAGGGGAAACACGATTTTTTTTTCAGATTTGAGTGGCAACCCCGTCATTACATTGGTGGCAAAATTGTAAATCCTTAATCTCTTTGTGCCAAGCAGGGAGTGCCAAGGGTCGCACGGGAATGCTTAGTTTTAACCTACCTAAAGAGGTTTTTTAGCCGAAGCAGTTTTTAGCTGACTAAGCTAATTTTTGAACCAAAATTCTTCAGTGTTAGTTTGTTAGAAATTACTATTTTATCTTATCCCACCAAAATTTTCAATAAGCCTCCCATTAAAAATAAAAAAAGCCGTAGCAAAAACAGGTTTCAACTGGGTTAAAAAAAATAGTTTGAATTTTTCATTTTAAAGTAATTTATTGTAGATAATTATTAAGCCACCCGCTAAAAACAGTTATTATCAAATCAAGATATATTTTATAATTTTATTACTGTCGTTGAACAGCCGACCTAACTTTTTGGGTTTACGACTACTATTGTTCAACTACGTAAACTTGTAATTTTGAACCCGATCCAGAAGACAAGGGAACTCCTTCATGAAGTATTGGGAGAAATTTGTCTTCGTAGAGAACTTTTTTGATGGAACTAACCCACGTTTGCTT